AGGTCGCCTGAGGAGCAGGCTCTGTGGCTGCAACGTGCAGCAGGACAGCAGCGGCTCGACGGCAGCACCTGCAGGCCCCAGCAGCAGGTAGCAGAAACAAAGGCAGGTGGCAGCAGGGGCGGCAGCAGGAGGTGCCACGGTAGCAGCGGGTTGCAGCTGCAATTTCCTGACTGTCTTCCACCACCCTCTCTTACCCTCCCCCCCACAGCAGCACGAGCGGTAGAGAGGAGGGGCGGCTGTTGGCTATGCATAATCTCTCTCGCCACCCCCTCACACTCCCCCTCCCCCCACGGGTGCGCGAGCAGCAGTGAGAGGGAGGAAAAGGCGAACAGCGGCGGCAGGAACTGTGTCACCCATGCGCCAACCCCACACCCCCCCCCCCCTTTTCACTGGCGCACGAGCAGCAGGTGCGGGGCAGGGGAGCTGCGCAGTAGCGCGCGGCCATACGTGGCTGCGCGCGGCTGTGCGCGGCTTCACGCGGCCGTACGCAGCTGCGCGCGGCTGCGTGTGGCTGTGGCAGCTCGTAACGGGACGAGGGGCGGGGCAGATCGGGACGGGTGACAGGGCGAAGGAGCAACGGGGCAGCACGAGCCGCCCAGCTCGTCGCCATTTGAGCAGACAGCTCGTCGTCGCGCCCGTCACGTCAGTCACAACTAAGGGCGCGACGGGCGCCACGAAACGAGAAATACGCGGTGGGCCCATGGGGTAGTTAAAAACAGCGGGCCAGGATGTCACGTGCTCTGTACCATGTCAAACATAATAGTTGAGGGGCCTAGGGTTCGACCTAGGCATGAGTGACGAGAGGAAAAGTGCAAGCCAAAAAGAGGAGTTCAATAGTAGAGGGCATACAAAATATAGGCAAGGAATTAGGCAAATGGTACACCACCTAGCAGGAAACTAAGATAACTACACTCGGCTACTATAGGCATTTATATGAATGTATACAAATACATTTCAACACAGAGCAGTACTCCTCCTCCCCCTCTACCCCACAGCGCAAGCTGGGCGACATGGTGTCGACCAATGACCCGCCTGTGCTCTCACATTGGAGCGCCCGGCCATCAGACCCCTGACCGCCTGTCTCTCTCCCTCCTATTCCTGCACTATCCAAACCCCTCTCAGCTCTTTCCACACCCTTTTCCCTATCTCATGGGTGCCCTAGGTGAAAGTGCGGAGCACGGGAGGAGTTCCAGGCGCTACGGTATGAGATGTATGCCATGTTTGCTCAGCTCAGCCTGCGTCGTGGAGCACCTGCCAGTGTTGCCGGGGGGTCCGTAGTGGTGCCTATGGCTAGTACCCCGCTGCCGATGAGTGCCGTGGACAAGGCACAAGTGCTTGTGTTGCAGGAGACAAACACATTCCCGGTATGTGGCGGGCCAAATGGGGTGGGTTGGGGTTGACATGGCAGCCAAGGTGGGGTTGGGGATGATGTGGCGGTTTGAAAGGGTACTAGCGGCGCATGACGAGGCGACGCATGTCAGGTGGGTGGGGGGTGACGTGGCTTGGGATGGGGGGGTGTGATGTGGCAAGTGGGGCGGGTTGTTGGTGGACGTGGCTGATGCAAAATGGTGTGATGTGGCGGAAGGTGAGGGTTGGGGATATCGTGGCGGTTTGAAAGGGTACACGGGAGCGGCGCATGACGAGGCGACGCGTGTCAGGTGGGTGGGGGGTGACGTGGCTTGGGGCGGGGGGGTGTGACGTGGCAAGTGGGGCGGGTTGTGGTAATTGTGGGGGGGGCCAGGAGGGTGTGACGTGGCAAGTTTACAGAGTGTTGCTAATCACGATCCCGTGGTCACGCGGCCACAATCATAACTGCTGGTTTCTCTCTCCCATGTCGTGTTGTATACCCTACACCCCTGCGCAGAACAAAGCCTACTTAGTGTGTTTACAGCTCATATTCTGAACCCGCCGGAAAAAATACAGTACTACCCTGCACCGGAGGAAGTGTTCGATGCGTTCTCTGTCCACTTGTCCGCAGAAGGGCTCGAGTCAATGAAGCTGATGTGGTTGCACAATGACAAGTCAACCATGGGAGTCTTCAACCACCAGATATCGTCAACAAGGTCAACTATCAACTCCACCCTCAAGCCAGCAGCATACACCGGCATGGGCCTTGCCGATTTCAACCATCTCGTGGATAGCCTGCCCACTGAGCTACACCCAACGAGGTGGTTCGACGACGAGCAACTCCTAGCCGAGTACAGAGATGGTATGTGCAACTCGAAAACACCATATGCCCCACCATATGCCAGTTAGCAGTTACATATCACCGTGCGATGTGGTTCACCCTGACTCTCATCCCCCCACTTGATTTCTCTACACCCCCTTTCCAACCCATACCCTCCCTGCCAAAATGCAGAACAGTGGGCCCTCAACTGTCACTTTGACAAGGCCACCGAGACGCCCTTCAGCAACCCCTTGTTCGCTTATGGTTTCAAGCTCTCCTTCAAGAGGGGCGAGGTCGTGTTCACCAAGTTCAAGAGCCGCATGGTGGCATGGGGCCTGTTTCCGGTATAGATGTAGATATGTGTTTGTACCCGCATGCCTCATCCCCTTAACCCCTTGCCTGTTCTTCAGCTAAATACTTGGTCAATCCAAGCCTTTGCAGTTACGTAGATAGTGACGACTGGATCACCGCTTTCAGTTGGCTCCTTTACCCGTAACCCCCCCTCATAAACCATCCACCCAACCCTACACCACATTGCAGATTGAATGGCCCCTTCCGTAGGATAAGCGTTGCAAGCGAATTAGTAGCCAGCCGGAACAAAACAGGCCAGACTACTTGGAGTGGTGCGAAAATGTCAAACAGATGATCCACTTTGCTGTCGTGGAGCGGAGAATCCCCCACGATCCGGCTATGGGTGTGTTCGTCTTCCCGAACAAGTTCCTCATCAACGATGACGACCTTGGAAAGGTCGTCCTTGTCCACCGGGCGCTTGCAATGCTCGGCAGTGCGTAGGCTATTTGACCTGGTGCTTCGACTGCTTGTTGCTAGAATGCTGAATAGTGGTTGTTGTAACCTAGAATTAATAAATTTAATTTTGAAATCCTCAATATCCAAAATGAACAAAAGCATTGAGTATTTTTGAATAATCTGGTCACGAATTTGCACCAAAACGGATTGCACACGAATGTCATCCGGAAAAGCTGGCGTGCCAAATTGAAACTTGACCCGAGCCAAACCTTGTCGCGAGATGTGTCTCGGAGCTCCTATCAAATGACTGTAACCGTCAGTCCAAATTGGCTCCGGATTCTTTTACGCGAGGACAATCGAAATCAAAATTCGTCCAAACTTGGCACAGGGTTTTTGTGATGAACATTGGGGCAACCGGTTAATATGTGGGCTCAATCGAGCTTGATCGCCTCGATCAGAGGATCAACAACTTCCAGGAAGCCATGAAGCCAATTTCACGCAATCGGGGGCAATCAGCTAATCACGATCAACTGATCGCCCCAACTCGATCAGAGCCGATTTTCACACGAATCAAATACGATTCGGCTCAATCACCCTCGATCACTTGATTGCATGTGATCGGAGACCGTAGCGATGATTGCGAAATGTTACACTGTTGTGCTGGTTCTGGTAAACACTTCGCTCATACATGTGTGGAGTGGGGTTTACGTTATTATAGGGAAACAAAGATTTTCGCCAGGTAACGTCTGGTCGCCACTCTCGCTAGATTTGGGAAAAAAATGCCAGGTAATAGTATCGCGTCTGCTCTACAAGCGTTGGGAATCTTCTCCGAAACACATCTCTGATCGGGCGGCTCGGGCAATGCGATAACAAGCAACCCGATCATATCCGACCCGATCAGATGAGAGCCAACCAAACTAGATTGGGCCCACGTCTAGTCCAGGTTTGGTTTGTTGGCCCTTGTTTGATCATCCCCTGCTACCAAATGGTCCAGATTTGTTATTTCCTCTTCAAAAGCAGACTTGCGGTTGATTCGCCATTGGGTGGCAGTCCAGCATGTTACGAAGCCTGCCAGTTGGAATTTGGCGGATCACGAACGAATTTGACGAACTGTCTCATCACGGTTACACGACCACGACGAAACGAAAGTCGGAGTCGCCTTCCAAGGAACCAGCCCCAGGATTAGGGCGCGTAACCATTTTGCATTTTACGATTTTGACGGACAGTCCGCTTAAAACGAAGTGGACGGTCCACTTATCGAGAACGGGACCGTCCGACTGTTTTTTTTGCAACTTCGGACTGTCCGAAGACAGTTGTGACACTTTTTTCCTAATGTACAGTTTCGCGATCACTGTACAAGCGTTACGCAACTCACTCAATCTCACAAATGTCGTTATCGAATCATTTTTGTTTATGGGTTGTCTCTGGTTGGTCAATGTCGATTCGTGAAGTAGCCTCGTACGTTTTTGTTGGTGGACGAGGTGACTCGACAATTTTTGCGTCGCCCTCCAATCGTGTGCAAGGACTGTCGGACAGTCCGTTTGGGATTCGGACTGTCCGCGGTTCAGATTTCGGACCGTTGAAAGTGGGAAAAAAGTGTCACCACAGTCCGTTTTGTTGGCGACGTCGCCAGCACATTTGCGAACACAATAACGACATTGTGCGAAGTTTGTTACCGTCTCGCCACCCGGACGGTCCACGGTTCGAACCGTCGGGTGCAAAATGGTTACGCGCCCTTACCCCGACCAACCAAGCTTGTCCCTTCGCTGCAGTCATCGTCCGGTTGAGCTTCACTGCAGCAGTCTATCTCCCACTCGACGTTTGGATCTACTCGTGGCATTCCTGAAGCTCCACACATGCGAGTGCCTCACAATATCAGGCTATGATAGCCTGCCTCGCGTGTGAAATTCAGATTCGGATTTATCCAGCCGCAGAGGGCCCGTTGCATTGAAGCACGACGGCGGTGACGGGCATAGCGGTAGGGATAGTTGTAACCTTTAGTAGCGGTCAATAACGGTCGGGGTGCGGTTGTAGCGGTTTATAGCGGTCAATAACAGTCGCGACGGTGGTGCGCGCAACGGTGGCGATGGAGGAGATGGTGCTGCCGTCGATCCGCGTGGGGCACTCGGGTGGCGGCGCGTTTGAGAGCCTCGCGAGCGACGCGGTCGAGGAGAAGAAAAAGCTCACGCTGGGCGTGTGCGTTATGGAGAAGAAGGTAGGCGGACGGGGGAGAGTGGGGGCGTAGGATGCAGAGATCCGTGATGGAGAAGAAGGTAGGCAGACGGATCAGCCGTCACTACACGTTCCATCACCCTTCCATGGCTTGGGTCGCAGGTCGACCTGGCTTCCGGCTCCTGCGCCCTTTATTGCCCCCCTCCCCTCAGCCGTTCCCCTTCCATCATCCAATTCCCCCCATCCCCTTCCGCCCCGCTTCCACCATCCCCGTCTGGCCACCCCCATTGTACCACGCCCCTTGCAGTCCCGGTCATTCCCCATGAGCCCCCTACTCGACCTGCCAACTCCAGCCCCCGTTTCCCCGCCCTTCCTTCATCCACTCCACCCCCCCCCCTTCCGCCATCCCCCCTGCAGTCGCGTTCGTCCCCCTGACGGCCATTCTTGACCCCCTGGGGTCGTTAATTGCTAATCGCTGTGCCACCTCCTGTCCTCGCTACCCCCCCCATCCCTTGCGCCACCCCCCCTGCAGTCGCGCTCGTCCCCCATGACGGCCATTCTTGACCGCCTGCGCATGTTCGGCGAGGTGGAGGTGAGGCCTGGGGGAGGTGAGATCTGCGGGAGGTGAGGCGAGGTGGAGGTGAGACTTGGGGGAGGTGAGATCTGCGGGAGGTGAGGCGAGGTGGAGGTGAGACCTGGGGAAGGTAAGGCGAGGTGGAGGTGAGACCTGGGGGAGGTGAGGCGAGGTGGAGGTGAGATCTGTGGGAGGTGAGACATGGGAGGGGGAGGTAGGGGGGAGAAACGTGGAGGAGAGGGGATGTTAAGCTTGAGTTTTATTCTTCTCCTCACAGCACGCCACCCTGCTTGCATTCAGACTCCATCCATTCCTTCTTCTCCTCATGCTCATGCCGCTTCTGCCATGCCTTGCTTGCCGAATCATGCGCTCCCATGTGCGTTGGCACCAGGTGATTATATTCGAAGACCGCATGATCCTCCACGACCCCATCGAGAAGTGAGCCATGCCTCCTCACCGCACTGCATGCCTCCTCGCCTCACTGCATGCGTCCTCGCTTCACTCTATCCCTTCTCGCGTCACTATATGTCCCCCCCATGCCTCCCCCCATGCCTCGCCCCATGCTCCCCCCTATGCCTCCCTCCAACCATGCCTCTCCCCATGCCTCCCCCCATGCCTCCAACCATGCCTCTCCCCATGCATCCCCCCATGTCTCCCTCCCCCCATGCCGTCCCCCATGCCCCCCCCCATGCCTCCCCCCATGCTTCCCCCATCTCCCCCCCATGCCCCCCCAATGCAAAACCAGGTGGCCCATATGCGATGCGCTAATCGCCTTCTACTCCACGGGCTTCCCTCTCGCCAAGGCGCAGCAATACGCCGCCCTGCGCAAGTATGTGCCCACTGTGCACTGCCCAGTGCTAGTACGTGCCCTCCGGAGAAAGTACATGTGTGTGTTGCCATGTGCAGCTGTGCGCACGTGGCAGCAGCATGAGCACAGCCCGTCTAGCAAACGATTCTCTTTGATGAGTGTTCTGGCGATGGGGATATTGTGCTTTCTTCCCATGTACTTTCGTTCCCATTGCAGTAGATTGTGACTCCCTCCAACTCGCATTTTTTCCATTGCTCCTTTGTCTCTCTCCTACTCTCCCACTCTCCCTCTCTCCCATCTATCCCATCCCTCCCTTCCCTCCCATCTCTCCCCGCCCTTCTCGCGCTGCTCCTGCACGGCAGGCCTTATCTGGTGAACGAGTTGGAGCCGCAGTGGCTGCTGCATGACAGGAGGAAGGTGTACGCGGTGAGTGCGAGTGCACAAGAGTGCGTGCGAGTGTACGGTGCTGTTTCTGGTCCTCTGCTAGTACCATGGTCTGAGGCAGCAGAAGCTTGTGGACCCTTCCCCCCTCCAGGGCCAACTCATGATGCCCCGAACCCCTTTCCCCATCCCGCCGTTCCTACCTGCTTCGCCCCAACCAACCCTTTACACCCCCCCTTTACCAGAAGCTGGAGGAGCACGGGCTGATGATGCCCACGTACGCCATAGTGAACAACCGTGATGAGGAGGGAGAAGAAGGTCCGGACTGCCCCCTCTCTGCCCACTCGCCCCACTCCCTCCCCCACCCCGTCCCCACCAACCCCCCCTCCCCTTTACCAGAAGCTGGAGGAGCATGGGCTCATGATGCCCACGTACGCCATAGTGAACCGCGAGGGCGAGGGGGAGGGGGCGGAGGAGGAGTTTGAGGAGGAGGAGGACTACGTGGTCATCGCGGGCAAGCGCATCAACAAGCCCTTCGTGGAGAAGCCTGTGGATGGTGGGTGGGTGCATGGGCGGTGGGGTGTGGGCTGTGGGCCTGTGAATGTTGCTTCGTTGAGGAGGAGGAGGACTACGTGGTCATCGCCGGCAAGCGCATCAACAAGCCCTTCGTGGAGAAGCCTGTGGATGGTGGGTGGGTGCATGGGCAGTGGGTGAATGGGTGGCAGTGGGTTAATGGGCAGTGGTGGGTTTATGGGCGGTGGATTCATGGGTGCCGGTGGGTTCATGTGTTGTGGAATTGTGGGTTGCGAGCCTGTGAATGCTGTTTTTTCCGCAGGAATCGTTTACCCCTCCCTAGAACAGCTGCCTCTATAGTCGTTCTCATCTCGTGCGTGTGAGGTGTCCAGCTCATCTGTCTTGCCGCAATTCCCCACACCGCCTCCCCTCTTCCCATGCCCTCCATGCATGCTCGCACGCTTTCCATGCCAGGTGACGACCACAGTGTGATGATCTACTACCCCAGCTCCGCAGGGGGTGGCATGAAGGAGCTCTTTAGAAAGGTACTGCCTCGTGGGGTGCATTTTTGAGCCGCCTAAAAACTAGACTCTTCGGGAAGGTACTGCCTGGTGGGGTGCATTCAACTGGCGGCAAGCTGCATGCGTTGTTGTTGTTCTGTTTTGCTATTTCAACAGAAAATACAAAACAACGCCTTTACCAGTGCCGCGTTGCACTCAATTTACCTCACCGCTCTCCTCCTTCCTTTCCTCTCGCCTTGCTAAAGAAAGCGACACTCTATTCTCTAATCCCTGTCTTTCCATTCATGTGTCCTCACCACACCTCTCAATAACACCACCACCACCACCTCTCCTCTCTCCCATCTCTCCTCCCTCATGGAAGGTGGGAAATCGCTCGAGTGAGTTTCATCCGGACGTGCGCCATGTGAGGCGCCACGGCTCCTACATCTACGAGGAGTTCCTTCCCACAGGTGCGCTCTTTGCCGCCCACAGGTGCACTCTTTGCCGCCCACAGGTGAGCTCTTTGCCGCCCACAGGTGCACTCTTTGCCGCCCACAGGTGCGCTCTTTGCCGCCCACAACTTTGTCATTTTCTGCCCTCATTTACAGCGTGAAGTGATGCATGGTTGTTTCTGACAGAATAGTTAAGCTCCAGCCCAGATCGATGCAGTACGTAACAAACACCATGGCATGCAGTAAACTGCGATGCATGTCGGCGAACAGCCTTCTTCTCGCGGCCTGCTCCTCATCTTCATTCCTTCATGCATCTTGCATTGCAGAATACATCGTGGTTCGTGCGTTCCTTGCTCAGTACTGTTACATTTCCATGGCCATGTGTGCAATCATGATATACATGTGCGTGTGCGTGTGCATTCCACCATGATGTTTGGCTGGCATCATCATGATGCATCTGCCAGGGGGCACGGACGTGAAGGTGTACACGGTGGGGCCAGACTATGCTCATGCAGAGGCACGCAAGTCACCCGTGGTGGACGGTGTTGTCATGCGCAGCGCTGACGGCAAGGAGGTATGGAGGGTGGACTGGCAGGGGGGGGTTTGGCTGGGGCACTGTATGGAGAACAGTAGAACCTGATGGCCTGTGTGGTTGCTTTGCTGTGAGCCAGCTCATCTCACGTTCCCATTCACTTGTGCAGAAGGGCAAGGAGGTGAGGCCACGCTTCCTCCAAGGGAATTCCCTTCAGATGTTTGTTCTGGAGAATAAGATGCACATGACGGGCAGCGAGACAGCCGTCATTTTGAACTGATGGCACTGAGATGACCCAATCAAAACACCACGCTGGCCTCGCCTGTCCCATGCATTTTCTCCTAGCACCATCTCTCTCCCTGCTAATTGACCCTCTCTCCATCTGCTGATTGTCCCTTTTTTTATGTACCTCGCTCAATCATATTCGCATTCTGATTGGGCTGTGCATGCATACATGCACTTCTCTCAATCCCTCTCACTGCCCACTCCATCCCTCCCACCATTCTCTCCTCATTCTTATCACCCAGTACCCCCCCTCTTCTCCCTGCACCTCTTCTAGATCCGCTACCCGGTGCTGCTCACCCCAACGGAGAAGGAAATGGCACGGGTTATCTGCCTTGCCTTTGGCCAGGCGGTGAGTAAATTCTCATCTTCTTTGTTTCCCCACGTTCCCAGAGCTCCTCTCTATCTCCCTCCCCTAATGTATTATTTGTTGAACTTGTTAGAAAGCTAGAATTGATACATTGAATAATGAGCCAAGAGGCTCTTTAGTACAAACAATGAGCAAGAGAGAGATGAGAGGAAAGCTTACCCTATTGGCCAATAAGTTGGCCAATGGGTGAGCTTGCTTGTGACCCAAGCAACCACAAATGTGTGTTGGTTGGGATTGGTTGAGCTAAGGACCAATCCCAACCAACCACAAAATGTGGTTGGAGGGTACACTAAGCAACCCCCCAATTTATGAATGTGCTACACTTCTAGCCTATGTATGTTGTATGAAATATGAAATTACAACACAACCCCCCAACATGCATAAGGCTAGAAGGCTAGAGTCAAGAGGCGGGAGGCGACTTAGGAGGAGTGAGGCCAAGAAGACGAAGTAGGAAAGAGTGAGCGGCATGAGGAAGAGCTTTTGTGAAGATGTCGGCAAGGTTGGCCGCCGAGTCAACCTTGTCGAGGCGAAGGTGCCCCGCCTGAACAAGATCGCGAATGAAGAAATGACGGAGCTCAATGTGCTTGGAGCGCCCGTGAAACACAGCATCTTTGGTGAGGTGAATGGTACTAGCATTGTCACACCAAATTGTGGGACAGCGCTGGGGGGCACCAAGTTCCTCAAGAAGGAAGGTGAGCCAGCGGGCCTCTTGCGCAGCCATGGTGGCGGCATACAATTCCGCCTCGCAGGAGGAGAGGGCTGCAGCCGAGGAGCGGGTGGAGCGCCAGCTGATAAGGCCGCTGCCAAGAGAGAAGCCATAGCCCTGGGAGGAGCGACGATCTGGCCGGGAATCAGCCCAAGAGGAGTCACTGTAGCCGCTGAGGAGAGGTGGGGAGGGGCCGCCAAGGGTAAGGACATAGTCCTTGGTGCCACGAAGGTACCGGAGGACACGCTTGGCGGCCTGCCAGTGCTCTTCCGTATGCTTGCCTGCGCCAACAAAACGAGCGAGGACGCTGATGGGGTAGGCAAGGTCAGGGCGAGTGGAGACCATGGCGTACATGAGGGAGCCGATGAGCTCGGGATAAGGATGGGAGGAGGCTGAGGGGGAGGTGGGTGGAGAGAGGTGGTGCCCGACAGAAAGAAGAGTAGGTTGGGCGCCACCGCGGACCATGTCAAACCGCTCCAAGACCTGCTGCAAGTAATGACCCTGGGAGAGAGAGATGGTGCGGGCGGAGCGGTCGCGGGTGATGGTCATGCCCAGGTAATGCTGCAGCTCGCCCAAGTCCTTGCATTTGAGACGGCTGCCCAACTCAGCCTTAACACGCTCCAATTCGCCAAGGTCGGCAGTGAGCAGAATCATGTCATCGACATACACAAGGATGTAGAACGGGGAGGGGCAGGTGCGGAGGAAGAGGCTGGCGTCAGAGCGGGAGGTGCGGAACCCAAGTTCAGCAAGGGTGGCGGCAAGCTTAGCATGCCACTCCCTCGGGGCCTGTCGAAGCCCATACACAGGGCGACGCAGCTGCCAGACAGAGTCTGCAGGGAAGGGAAGGTGAAAACCGGCTGGACGCTCCATGTAGATAAGCTCGCGGAGGACGCCTTGGAGGAAAGCGTTAGAGACGTCCATCGAGTGGATCTCCATATTGAGGCGAGCGGCGAGGTCGAGCACGGCGCGAACAGTAGCAGGCTTGGCAGTGGGAGAGAAGGTATCGAAGAAGTCAAAACCATACCGCTGCGTGAACCCCTTGGCACAGTAACGAGCCTTATAGACGGGCGCAGCTGTTTGACGCGAAACACCCACTTCCCTTTCACCACGTTCGTAGAGGAGGGAGGGCGAGGCACATCAACGAAGGAGGAGTTGGCGACAAAGGCCTCCAGCTCCTTGATAATGGCGGCGAGCCAGAGTGGGGCGTCGGGGCAAGCCATGGCCTCCTCATACGTGGTAGGGATAAAAACGGAGGGAGCAGAGGAGAATGCGAATACTGGTGTCTCAGAAAGGTCGAAGGTGATGGGTAGAAGGGAAGGGTCACAGAGGTGGAGGTCAAGGAACTCCTCATGTGAGTCCTCGGAGAGGGAGGTGTGGAAGGAGCGGATGACCGTTGGTGCCGCTGGTGCCGCTGCACGTGCCGCTGCTGGTGCCGCTGCTGGTGCCGCTGCTGGTGCCGCTGCTGGTGCCGCTGCTGGTGCCGCTGCTGGTGCCGCTGCTGGTGCCGCTGCTGGTGCCGCTGCTGGTGCCGCTGCTGGTGCCGCTGCTAGTGCCGCTGCTGGTGCCGCTGCTGGTGCCGCTGCTAGTCCCGCTGCTGGTCCCGCTGCTGGTGCCGCTGCTGGTCCTGCTGCAGGTGTCGCTGCTGGTCCTGCTGCTGGTGCCGCTGCGGGTGCCGTTGCGGACGCTGCTGCTGGCGCCGCTGCTGGAGAGGTGGCAGAGGGGGCTGCTGCAGGAGGAGGTTGATGCAGAACAGCCTGGAAGAAGTGGTGAAGGAGAGGGGAGAGTGGGGGGAGGGTAGAGGTAGAGAGGGTAACAGGGGGCGGTGCACCAAGGATACTGTCACGTGACCTGGTATGGGGGTACCGGGTAAGTACGGTGCGGGGAGGGGGGGAAGGACGAGTCGGCGGCGAGGGAGGTGAAGGAGGGGCGGGAGGGGCACTAGGAGAGGAATGTGTGGGGGAGACGGGAGAGGACAGAGGTTCCGGGTCAAATATATCACCAGACGAGGGAGGGGCACCGCGGGATGGGGACGACGGTGGGGGGGGGGGGAGGGAGGATGGGGGGAGGAGGAAGTAGTGGGGGAGGGGTGGTGTCAGACCAGACAAGGGGACGGGGAAGACGGGGGAGTGGGTCAGTGGATGGGGGAGAGGAGTAGTAGGGAGTGGACTCATCAAAGACCACATCCCTACTGCGGAATAGACGACCTGAGGGGGGATGGAGGAAAAGGTAGTCAGGTGAGGAGGAGTTATGACCAAGAAAGATGCAGGGAAGGGTACGAGGGGCAAGCTTTCCCATAGAGCGGGAGCGGTCAGTGGGGTGAAGGAGAACATAAGCCTTTGAGCCCCAGACACGAAGAGACGAGACATCAGGTTTGTTGTTCGTCCACAGCTCAGTGGGGGTGGTGGATGGGAGAAGAGGGTGAGGGTAAAGGTTAGTAAGGAGGGCGGCATGAAGGAGGGCATAGCCCCACAGAGAAGGAGGGCAGGAGGCGTGGACAAGAAGACACCGGGCAGTTTTGGTGATCTCTCGAACACGACTTTCAGCCACACCGTTCTGCTGTGGGGAGTGAGGGAGGGTGTAAGTCTGAAGAATGCCATGAGACTGACAATAGGAGGATATTTGGTTGTTAAGGAACTCACCACCACCATCAGAGTGAAGGCGGCGAACAGGGCGCCCAAAATGGGTATTTGCCCGCTCGAGCCAGGCGATGATCGCAGCCGGGGCATCTGCCTTCGTCCGAAGGAGAGAGACGGACGAGTACCGACTGTGATCATCGACGAGTACGAGGAGGTATCGATGGCCCTGGCGAGTGGGAGAGGGATTGGGGCCCCAGAGGTCCATGTGAACAAGATCAAGTGGCTGAGCAGCAGCGGAGGGGGAGCTCCGGTGCGGCTGCTGCTTGAGCTTGCTCTGAACGCAGACGGTGCAGGGGGGGGCAGGGGATTTGGGGAGGGGAGGGAGGGAGGAGGGGAGACCGTGGAGGAGACCGGTGGAAACAGAGGAGCGTAGAGTAGCGAAGTTAGGGTGACCTAGCCTGTGATGGAGGAGGACGGCAGGGTGGGAGAGGGAGCGACAGGAGCAGGAGGAGTCAAGGGGAGGGCGGGAAGGGAGGTCCGGGTTAGTGGGAGGGAGAGGAGGAGGTGGGATGAGAGGGTGGAGGGGGGGACAAGAGATGACCTGACAGGAGGGGAGGCGAGGAACCCGAAGGGTGTACAGACGGGAGCGAGGGCAAAAGGGAATGCGAGAAAGGAACTGGCCGGTGGCGGAATGGTAGAGAGCGCAATAGTTAGCATGAGCTGGGAATACTGTGGTGATACCGGCTTGCTGAAGGGACCTTTGCGAAAGGAGATTAGCGCGAAGAGAGGGTATGTGGAGACCGGTGACAGTGCCTGAGGGGAAGAGTGGGCAGGGGAGAGTCGAGGTGTTATGGCAGGGGATAGAGAAGCTGCTGTCGGCGCCAAGGAGGGGGTAGGCGTTGGGAGGGGGCGCAAGGTGCCAGCATCGCGAAGAACTGTGTCAGTGGCGCCGCTGTCGAGGACAAAATCGACAGTGGAGGAGAGGGAGGAGGAAGGGACAGAGGACTGGAACGCAGTTTCGTTAGTGGTAGAGGAGTATGTGGCAGGTGCAGTTGATGTGGCTTGATTGACCATACCAGCGATACCAACGGATGAGAAAGGTGGGACGATGCTTGAAGTGGCGGAGCTTGTGGAACAATGCGGAACTGAGTTCTGCTGGGAAGTTGGGGGAGGAGGAGGAAGAGGCAGCTGCGGTTGTAGGTCAAGGTGCTGCTGCAGGCGGTGAAGCAACTGCTGGAGCTGGAGGAGGAGGTGCCAGAGCTGCTGCTGGTGCTGCTGTTGCTGCGGTTGTTGCTGCTGCTGCTGCTGCTGCTGCTGCTGCTGCTGCTGCTGCTGCTGCTGCTGCTGCTGCTGCTGCTGCTGCTGCTGCTGCTGCTGCTGCTGCTGCTGCTGCTGCTGCTGCTGCTGCTGCTGTTGCTGCTGTTGCTGCTGCTGCTGCAGAGGAGGAGGAGGAGGAGGAGGAGGAGGAGGAGGAGGAGGAGGAGGAGGAGGAGGAGGAGGAGGAGGAGGAGGAGGAGGAGGAGGAGGAGGAGGAGGTAGAGAGAAGGGTTGACTCGGGGCATGGTGGGCTTGGGTGGAGAGTTTACACTGAAGTCCCCGAGTCGGGCCATAGCGAGGCACATATTCACGAGGAGAGAAGGCTGCTGCTGCGCCGCAGCCTGCGCTCAAACCCCTGACACCACAATATCCTGCGAGTCTCCCTTGACCACCACCACAGCTGCCACTATGCCCTCCTCCATGCCCACCGGTACCACTGCTGATGCATGCCAGTGCGACTGTTGCCATGGGGGAAGCAATGTGGGGTGTGGGCGGTCACGGCATGGCACAGGCGAGCAGGGCATGAAGGTGTGCGCAGGCAGCTGACGGTATGCGCAGGCAGCTGACGGTATGCGCAGGCAGCTGACGGTATGCGCAGGCGGGTGTGCTGTATGTGCTCCCAGGTGTGCGGTATGTGCTGACAGGTGTGCGGTATGTGCTGACAGGTGTGCGGTATGTGTTGTCAGGTGTGCGGTATGTGCTGTCAGGTGTGCGGTATGTGCTGTCAGGTGTGCGGTATGTGCTGTCAGGTGTGCGGTATGTGCTGTCAGATGTGCTGTATGCGCGTGCAGATGTGCTGTATGCCAGGGAGGTGGGCAGGGGGCGGACGAGGGGAGGGGGACAGCGAGCGGGGAAGGAGGGCGTGCAACGAGTGCGCGGACGGGGAGAGCGTGGACGACCGGAGCGCGGACGAGCAGGGCGTGCAGACGAACAGGGCGCGCGGACGGCCAGGGTGCGGATGACTAGGGCGCGCGGACGGGCAGGGCGCGGACGCGAAGGGCGGATGAGCAGGGCGTGCGGACGGGCAGGGCGCGGACGAGCAGGGCGTGCGGACGGGCAGGGCGGGGACGCGAAGGGCGGACGAGCAGAGCGCGCGGACGGGCAGGGCGCGGACGACCAGGGCGCGCGGTCGGACTAGCAAGGGCGTGCGAGTTGCAGATCTGAGCACGCGGAATGCAGATTTGGGCGCGGGAGAGTAGATCTGAGTGCGGAATGTGCAGATCTGAGCGCGAAATGCGCAGATCTGAGGGCAGGAGGAGTAGAGCAGGGCGCGGGAGGAGTAGATCTGAGCTCGGGAGGAGGAGATGTGAGCTCGGGAGGAGTAGATCTGAGTTCGGGAGGAGTAGATCTGAGCTGGGGAGGAGTAGATCTGAGCTCGGGAGGAGTAGATCTGAGCTCGGGAGGAGTAGATCTGAGCTGGGGAGGAGTAGATCTGAGCTCGGGAGGAGTAGATCTGAGCTGGGGAGGAGTAGATCTGAGCTGGGGAGGAGTAGATCTGAGCTCGGGAGGAGTAGATCTGAGCTCGGGAGGAGTAGATCTGAGCTGGGGAGGAGTAGATCTGAGCTCGGGAGGAGTAGATCTGAGCTCGGGAGGAGTAGATCTGAGCTGGGGAGGAGTAGATCTGAGCTGGGGAGGAGTAGATCTGAGCTGGGGAGGAGTAGATCTGAGCTGGGGAGGAGTAGATCTGAGCTGGGGAGGAGTAGATCTGAGCTGGGGAGGAGTAGATCTGAGCTGGGGAGGAGTAGATCGGAGCTCGGGAGGAGGAGATGTGAGCTCGGGAGGAGTAGATCTGAGCTCGGGAGGAGAAGATCTGAGCTCGGGAGGAGAAGATCGGAGCTCGAGAGGGGTAGATCTGAGCTTGGGAGCACCGTAGTAGGACTACGTCTGAGGGACGGGGAGGAGAGGGTGGCCTAAGGACCGAGGGATCAAGGCGTGAGCCAATAGCTCATGATACCATGTTAGAAAGCTAGAATTGATACATTGAATAATGAGCCAAGAGGCTCTTTAGTACAAACAATGAGCAAGAGAGAGATGAGAGGAAAGCTTACCCTATTGGCCAATAAGTTGGCCAATGGGTGAGCTTGCTTGTGACCCAAGCAACCACAAATGTGTGTTGGTTGGGATTGGTTGAGCTAAGGACCAATCCCAACCAACCACAAAATGTGGTTGGAGGGTACACTAAGCAACCCCCCAATTTATGAATGTGCTACACTTCTAGCCTATGTATGTTGTATGAAATATGAAATTACAACAGAACTCCCCTCTTTTCTCATCTGCTCTGCTCTCGGCTTCATTTACTCATCCCACCCGCGCCCGCCTCTCTCTCTCTCGCCTCACCTCCCTGGCCAGGTGTGTGGCTTTGACCTGCTGAGGTCGCACGGGCGCTCCTTCGTGTGCGATGTCAACGGCTGGAGCTTCGTCAAGAATTCCTCCAAGTGAGCACGGAGCTTCTGGTGATATCAGCAGCATCTGGACAGCACAGCCTCACTGCTCCTTACTTGCGCAAGGAAAAAATATATATAAACAATTTTTTGAAGGGGCAAACAACCATTGAGGCGATAATCAAATTACTAACGTTGCACGGCCCCACTTGCCATGCTTCCTGTCGATCAAGGTGGTCGCTCGCCCCACCCCACTGTCACTCTCCTCTGTTTATCGAGCCTAACCGTCGCCCCCTCTTCTCCATCTCGGCCTTCAATCAACCCCTCCTGCCTGCATGCAGGTACTACGACGATGCAGCGTGTGTGCTGCGCAGCATGCTGCTGCGCGCAGTGGCACCCCACCTCTACTCGCCTCTGCCCGTGCGCCTGCCTTGGTCCACTGGACCCGACGCTGCTGCAGCAGCAGCGGCGGCGTCAGCAGTGGCGGACGGCACGACATCGCCGGACTACGAGCGCACGCTCAGTGCGAGCAGCTTCAACAGCGCGCACACGTTCGGCACGCGGGAGGAGCTGCGCTGCGTGATTGCTGTCATTCGCCAGTGAGTGAAGTGGGGCGGGGGCGGGGTGCAGTGCAGACATTGTTGCCGCCATCGCTGTCGTCCTGCCGTCGTGCAACGCTGAGTGGAGGCTGCTGCTGGGGGTGGCAGGGAGGGAGGGGGTGTCTTAGCTGAAGAGTCTCGGGGAGCTCAGCTCATCTGTGATGCTATCCAACATACGCCAGCGAGTGGAGCTTCTTGGGGAATTTTTGCTGTAGAGTATTGTAATCTGGTGCTTTTTGAATGCAGAGAGGTTGAGGTTTGGTGGGAGGGAATTGTGGCAGAAAATTGGGTAGAAATCCGAATAACGAGTCATTGACACACACATTCTCCTCCGCAGGCGTTTCTTGAGAAATTCTCGAAAACAACTTGACACGTTCTCCTTCCCCTTGCTTCCTCCTTTGTTGTCGCCCTTCCCTATGGGCAGTGGCGACCGCACGCCAAAACAGAAGGTGAAGCTGGTGGTGACACAGGAGCGGCTGCTGAAGCTCATGCTCAAATACAACGGCGGCAAGCCCCGCTCTGAGGTACTGCGGTGGGGGCAAGTGTGCAGGCGTGTGAGGTGTTAGGAGGGCAGTAAGGCTGGTGAGCCCTGTAGGAGGTGTTTAAGAGAGTGGTGGTGGCTTGCGTTGCAGGCAGCTCAGCACTGCGCCTGCAGGTTTGGGAGTGACACGTGGACTTAGTGGGGGAGGTGAGCCCAAGGACATGTGAATGGTCGCATGGGCGCATGCACACACCATGCAATGCAGGGCAAAAGAGTGCAGTGCCTGGCAGAGGCCCTGTTGCTTGCCACTTCTGCCATCTGCCCCCCATGCCTCTGCCAGCTAGCCTGATTGCGCCAAAGTCTGCGCGCTTTTTCCTGAGAGATCTGTGCGCCCCTCTGTATGCTCTGCACTCTCCCCCCCACCCCCTCGCCCCACTGCCCCACTGCCCGCCAGGCGAAGCTGAAGAGCGCCATGCAGCTGCAGGACCTACTGGACGCCCTGCGCGCCCTTGAGCTTGAATGCTCTCTGTGCTCTTCCTTGTTTCCCCCTCGCCCCACCCCCAGGCGAAGCTGAAGAGCGCCGTGCAGCTGCAGGACCTGCTGGACGCCTTGCGCGCCCTCGTGCCGCACCAGAGGTGCGAGTTGCTTTGGTGGTTGGCTGTTAGGAAAGTGGGTGTTGCACCAGAGGAGAGGTGTTGCCCTTAGCTGGTACGAAGGTGTATCGTGCTGCTTTTTTTGTTACCTTCTTGTTGCTTCACTTGAGTATCAGCGTAGAGGCGCATGAGAGTCGTCACATATCATTTGCAGCCTGCCTGCAGCATCGTCTGTTGCCCCAACGTCCGCTCGCGCCCCACTCTTCTGGCGTCGCATATCGAGTCGATGTAATGGCGCTTCTCACACGATGCACTGCCCGTGTCGCCTTCTGCCCTCCTTCGCCTTGCCCCCCTTGCGCTAACCTTGCTGCGATGCGACAGCAGGGACGGCAGTGACAGCGAGACGGAGGACTTTGAGAATGCGGAGAAGCTGAGACACGTGAAGGCCGTGCTGGAGGAGGTGAGGCCGTGCTGGAGGAGGTGAGGCCGTGCTGGAGGAGGTGAGGCCGTGCTGGAGGAGGTGAGGCCGTGCTGGAGGAGGTGAGCTTAAAGCCCTGACATTTCAAATGTTCAATGCAATCTACCTTATGAATGTCAACGCAGGATTGGAGGAAGCGATGCCATGCATGACGCTGGATTTCTATCAAAAGAAACCCCCTCCTCCTCCTCCTCCTCCTCCTCCTCCTCCTCCTCCTCCTCCTCCTCCTCCTCCTCCTCCTCCTCCTCCTCCTCCTCCTCCTCCTCCTCCTCCTCCTCCTCCTCCTCCTCCTCCTCCTCGGTTTCCTGCTCCCATGCTCCTATGCTTCTCCTCCCACGCACAGGGCGGGCACTTCTCGGGCATATACCGCAAGGCGCAGCTGAAGCCGCAGAAGTGGGAGCGTGTGCAGCGGAGGGACAGCAGCGGGGCCGAGGTGGAGGTGGATGAGCCCACGGAGGCCCTCATGGTGCTCAAGTACGGCGGCGTGCTCACGCACGCTGGCAGACAGCAGGTGAAGTAGTCGCTGATGCTGGTGATCAGGGTAGGTGCGGTGGCATGGCAGGCAGCAGGTGGGGAGGCAGGCAGCAGGAGGGGAGGCAGGCAGCAGGTGGATTAGTCCGTGTTGAGTCCCCTGTGAGGCACACAGCTGAAGCGCGTCCCTGTGAGGCACACAGCTGAAGCGCGTCCCTGTGAGGCACACAGCTGAAGCGCGTCCCTGTGAGGCACACAGCTGAAGCGCGTCCCTGTGAGGCACACAGCTGAAGCGCGTCCATTCTCTCACCCTCACTCTGACTGCTCTTTTCTTTTGCGAAACAACCAACTAACTGTGTAACCTTCTTCCTGTTCCCTCTTCTTCCGTCCTCCTCAACACCCCCCTTCCCCTCCCCTCACCTCCCCTCCCGCTTCCTTCCTTACTGCCACTCATCAGGCGGAGCATCTGGGTCGAGCATTTCGAGAAGCCATGTATCCTGGTAAGGGCATGCATGTCGCTCGGCCATGCATCATGCTATGGGCGTAAGTTCATGCTTACTGGATCATGTAGTGCATACATGCAAACTTGACTGATGCATGTACATGCAACTGCTTGACAGTTGGCCTGGGCCCACACATGGAATGCAACACATGGAATGCAACACATGGAATGCAACACATGGAATGCAACACATGGAATGCAACACATGGAATGCAACACATGGAATGCAACACATGGAATGCAACACATGGAATGCAACACATGGAATGCAACACATGGAATGCAACACATGGAATGCAACACATGGAATGCAGCACATGGAATGCAGCACATGGAATGCAACACATGGAATGCAACACATGGAATGCAACACATGGAATGCAACACATGGAATGCAACACATGGAATGCAACACATGGAATGCAACACATGGAATGCAACACATGGAATGCAACACATGGAATGCAACACATGGAATGCAACACATGGAATGCAACACATGGAATGCAACACATGGAATGCAACACATGGAATGCAACACATGGAATGCAACACATGGAATGCAACACATGGAATGCAACACATGGAATGCAACACATGGAATGCAACACATGGAATGCAACACATGGAATGCAGCACATGGAATGCAGCACATGGAATGCAGCACATGGAATGCAGCACATGGAATGCAGCACATGGAATGCAACACATGGAATGCAACACATGGAATGCGACACATGGACTGCGACACATGGACTGCAACACATGGAATGCAACACATGGAATGCAACACATGGAATGCAACACATGGAATGCAACACATGGAATGCAACACATGGAATGCAACACATGGAATGCAACACATGGAATGCAACACATGGAATGCAACACATGGAATGCAACACATGGAATGCAACACATGGAATGCAACACATGGAATGCAACACATGGAATGCAACACATGGAATGCAACACATGGAATGCAACACATGGAATGCAACACATGGAATGCAACACATGGAATGCAACACATGGAATGCAACACATGGAATGCAACACATGGAATGCAACACATGGAATGCAACACATGGAATGCAACACATGGAATGCAACAGATGGAATGCAACACATGGAATGCAGCACATGGAATGCAACACATGGAATGCAACACATGGAATGCAGCACATGGAATGCAACACATGGAATGCAACACATGGAATGCAACACATGGAATGCAACACATGGAATGCAACACATGGAATGCAACACATGGAATGCAACACATGGAATGCAACACATGGAATGCAACACATGGAATGCAACACATGGAATGCAACACATGGAATGCAACACATGGAATGCAACACATGGAATGCAACACATGGAATGCAGCACATGGAATGCAGCACATGGAATGCAGCACATGGAATGCAGCACATGGAATGCAGCACATGGAATGCAACACATGGAATGCAACACATGGAATGCAACACATGGACTGCAACACATGGAATGCAACACATGGAATGCAACACATGGAATGCAACACATGGAATGCAACACATGGAATGCAACACATGGAATGCAACACATGGAATGCAACACATGGAATGCAACACATGGAATGCAACACATGGAATGCAACACATGGAATGCAACACATGGAATGCAACACATGGAATGCAACACATGGAATGCAACACATGGAATGCAACACATGGAATGCAACACATGGAATGCAACACATGGAATGCAACACATGGAATGCAACACATGGAATGCAACACATGGAATGCAACACATGGAATGCAACACATGGAATGCAACACATGGAATGCAACACATGGAATGCAGCACATGGAATGCAGCACATGGAATGCAGCACATGGAATGCAGCACATGGAATGCAACACATGGAATGCAACACATGGAATGCAACACATGGAATGCAACACATGGAATGCAACACATGGAATGCAACACATGGAATGCAACACATGGAATGCAACACATGGAATGCAACACATGGAATGCAACACATGGAATGCAACACATGGAATGCGACACATGGAATGCGACACATGGAATGCAACACATGGAATGCAACACATGGAATGCAACACATGGAATGCAACACATGGAATGCAACACATGGAACGCAACACATGGAACGCAACACATGGAACGCAACACATGGAACGCAACACATGGAATGCAACACATGGAATGCAACACATGGAATGCAACACATGGAATGCAACACATGGAATGCAACACATGGAATGCAACACATGGAATGCAACACATGGAATGCAACACATGGAATGCAACACATGGAATGCAGCACATGGAATGCAGCACATGGAATGCAGCACATGGAATGCAGCACATGGAATGCAGCACATGGAATGCAGCACATGGAATGCAACACATGGAATGCAGCACATGGAATGCAGCACATGGAATGCAACACATGCAATGCAACACATGGAATGCAACACATGGAATGCAACACATGGAATGCAACACATGGAATGCAGCACATGGAATGCAACACATGGAATGCAGCACATGGAATGCAGCACATGGAATGCAACACATGGAATGCAGCACATGGAATGCAGCACATGGAATGCAACACATGGAATGCAGCACATGGAATGCAACACATGGAATGCAACACATGGAATGCAACACATGGAATGCAGCACATGGAATGCAACACATGGAATGCAACACATGGAATGCAGCACATGGAATACAGCACATGGAATGCAACACATGGAATGCAGCACATGGAATGCAGCACATGGAGTGCAGCACATGGAATGCAGCACATGGAATGCAGCACATGGAATGCAGCACATGGAATGCAGCACATGGAATGCAACACATGGAATGCAGCACATGGAATGCAGCACATGGAATGCAACACATGGAATGCAGCACATGGAATGCAGCACATGGAATGCAACACATGGAATGCAACACATGGAATGCAACACATGGAATGCAACACATGGAATGCAACACATGGAATGCAACACATGGAATGCAACACATGGAATGCAGCACATGGAATGCAGCACATGGAATGCAACACATGGAATGCAGCACATGGAATGCAGCACATGGAATGCAACACATGGAATGCAGCACATGGAATGCAGCACATGGAATGCAACACATGGAATGCAGCACATGGAATGCAGCACATGGAATGCAGCACATGGAATGCAGCACATGGAATGCAGCACATGGAATGCAGCACATGGAATGCAACACATGGAATGCAGCACATGGAATGCAGCACATGGAATGCAACACATGGAATGCAGCACATGGAATGCAGCACATGGAATGCAACACATGGAATGCAGCACATGGAATGCAGCACATGGAATGCAACACATGGAATGCAGCACATGGAATGCAGCACATGGAATGCAACACATGGAATGCAGCACATGGAATGCAGCACATGGAATGCAACACATGGAATGCAGCACATGGAATGCAGCACATGGAATGCAACACATGGAACGCAGCACATGGAACGCAGCACATGGAACGCAACACATGGAATGCAGCACATGGAATGCAGCACATGGAATGCAACACATGGAATGCAGCACATGGAATGCAGCACATGGAATGCAACACATGGAATGCAGCACATGGAATGCAGCACATGGAATGCAACACATGGAATGCAGCACATGGAATGCAGCACATGGAATGCAACACATGGAATGCAGCACATGGAATGCAACACATGGAATGCAACACATGGAATGCAACACATGGAATGCAGCACATGGAATGCAACACATGGAATGCAACACATGGAATGCAGCACATGGAATGCAGCACATGGAATGCAGCACATGGAATGCAGCACATGGAATGCAACACATGGAATGCAGCACATGGAATGCAGCACATGGAATGCAACACATGGAATGCAGCACATGGAATGCAGCACATGGAATGCAACACATGGAATGCAGCACATGGAATGCAGCACATGGAATGCAACACATGGAATGCAGCACATGGAATGCAGCACATGGAATGCAACACATGGAATGCAGCACATGGAATGCAGCACATGGAATGCAACACATGGAATGCAGCACATGGAATGCAGCACATGGAATGCAACACATGGAATGCAGCACATGGAATGCAACACATGGAATGCAGCACATGGAATGCAGCACATGGAATGCAACACATGGAATGCAACACATGGAATGCAACACATGGAATGCAACACATGGAATGCAACACATGGAATGCAACACATGGAATGCAGCACATGGAATGCAGCACATGGAATGCAGCACATGGAATGCAACACATGGAATGCGACACATGGAATGCGACACATGGACTGCAACACATGGAATGCAACACATGGAATGCAACACATGGAATGCAACACATGGAATGCAACACATGGAATGCAACACATGGAATGCAACACATGGAATGCAACACATGGAATGCAACACATGGAATGCAACACATGGAATGCAACACATGGAATGCAACACATGGAATGCAACACATGGAATGCAACACATGGAATGCAGCACATGGAATGCAGCACATGGAATGCAGCACATGGAATGCAGCACATGGAATGCAGCACATGGAATGCAACACATGGAATGCAACACATGGAATGCGACACATGGACTGCAACACATGGAATGCAACACATGGAATGCAACACATGGAATGCAACACATGGAATGCAACACATGGAATGCAACACATGGAATGCAACACATGGAATGCAACACATGGAATGCAACACATGGAATGCAACACATGGAATGCAACACATGGAATGCAACACATGGAATGCAACACATGGAATGCAACACATGGAATGCAACACATGGAATGCAACACATGGAATGCAACACATGGAATGCAACACATGGAATGCAACACATGGAATGCAACACATGGAATGCAACACATGGA